CACGCACTCTGACTCCTAGCAAAAAACATCAATCTGCAGTAGAGGAGGAAGCGTGTGCGATCATGGAAACCCTACACAAGTGAGGGCATTATCTTCTTGGCACCCACTTCAAACTCATCACCGATCACCGTTCCGTAGCCTTTATGTGTGACCGACGACAGACAACCAAAATCGAAAACGATAAAATCCAAGGGTGGCGAGTCGTATTATCTGCTTTTCACTATGATATAATCTACAGACCCGGAAAAGATAATCAAGTCGCAGATAAGCTGTCCCGCAGTACTCATGCTTCCAATTTTAGCAGCATAAAACTGTGATACCTGCACGATTCATTATATCACCCCGGAATAACGCGAATAGTGCATTTTGTACGCACACGCAATCTCCCGTATTCCGTCGAAGAAACCAAGAGCATGATTGCAAAGTGCACTATCTGCGCGGAGCTAAAACCCCACTTTTTCAAGCCATCTCCCTGCAATCTAATCAAAGCTACACAACTACTTGAGAGACAAAACATCGATTTCAAAGGACCCTTACCTTCGACCTCTCGGAACCGTTATATTGTGTGTGTCATTGATGAATATTCTCGATTTCCGTTTGCTTTTGCATATCCGGACATGCTTTCATATACTGTCATCAACTTCCTTTGTCAATTATTTGCTATTTTTGGCGTGCCTACTTATGTACACTCGGATCGCGGTCCATCTTTTATATCCACAGAGCTTGTTCGGTTTCTGCGTAATAAAGGCGTAGCAACTAGTCACACAACTGCTTACAAACCGCAAGCTAACGGTCAAGTGGAGCGCTTAAACGGTACGCTATGGAAAGCTATATCTCTAGCACTGAGGACTAGAGGAGTGCCGGCCTCTCAATGGGAACCAGTCCTCCTAGATGCATTACACTCTATTCGCTCACTGCTTTGCGTCGCCACAATACCCCTCAAGAACAATTGTTTTCTTTCCCCGGCATTCGGCCAACGGCTCCTCCATACAGACGTGGCTGACAACTCCAGACCCGGGGCTGCACAAACAAATGGATCGAACTTCGAAGTGCGACAACTTTGTAGACGAAGTGGATCTCATTAGCTGCAATCGACCTTATGCTCTCGTGAAAATGCCCGACGGCAGGGAAGAAAACGTTTCTTTTCGACGCTTGGCCCCACCGGGTGATCTACTGGTCTCGAGACCAGAAACTTGAGACGTGCCAAACAGTGAAACAAACACAGTTAGAATTTTCTCCTCCAAGATCGACAGATAATTCACTTAATCGTGACATTTTGACTCTTCCCCAGCCCCGACACCTGTATTTGACAATGCATTAGAAATCTTGCGACCACAACAAAGAACGAGACCATACAATCTAAGAAACAGAGAAGCTTAGTTACCTTCTGCTATTTCTCTTTTTCTTCCTTTTCTCTCTGCCGGGGCGAATGTCATGTTTTTTATTCATTCTGTTTCCGTATGCTGTTACTCACGTCGTTCATTTTTATTTTGCACCCCATGTATTTATGTTAATAGACGAGTAATGCACATCCTTCCTGTTTGCGCGTTCTCTCTCTAATCTCGACCGTATTCGTTTGTTGTCATCCGTAACAGCGTTATTAGCACTGACCTATGGACCTCAGAAAATCCGGTTGTTGCCCTGCTATGTGAACAATTTTAACTGCAGGCTCGTAATGTTTTTGCCCAACTCACAGCAATCAATGAATTTTCAAATGTATTTTCTACCTACTAAAACATTTTAAGTAGAGAGATTATTCAGCATAATAGAATTAGACCAGCCGACACTGCTGAACCTGTTTCTTCATGTAGAACAAAGAGGTACTCCCGTTTGAATTGATCATCACACTTAAAAGATAAATTTGTGTTTCTGTTGGTATTTACCTTTATCAAGCTACGCATAACCTTTCATTAAAAAAAACTATTCGTTGATATGCTAACATAAAAGTTGCGCAGAAATGAATAGGAGACCCAACAAAATACAAATAGATCACT